TCTCAGCTCAGAATAGCCAAGGTGGAATGCACCAAGGAGGAGGAAATACAGCCCATGCTTGTGCACCATTTTTTCCCCAGTTACTGGCTTATTCTGCCTCAGTGTATCAATTCTTCCTTTTCTGAATCAACAGGATCATCAGAGTTCACTGCATAGTTCTATATCTAAAAATATCTTACCCTATTCTTTTTCTGAAAGTTTTTCTAGTTCTATGTTTTAGATTTATGCCTACATTCCATTTTATGTTATTTAAGATGAAAGATTTAGTTTTTAATTAAAGATTCTTTTTTTTTTTTAAAAAGATTTTATTTATTTATACGGAACTGGTGTACAGGCCAGAGATGTGGAGGGTGAGAGAATTCACCAGAGACAGAGCAGGGAGCAGAGCAGGCAGATCTACGAAGTACACTGCTGAGGGGAGCAGCGGGCGGGTCAGGAGAGGTCTGCCGCGCCATGTGGATCTCCTCCGGGGCAGGCAGGAATCGAATTCATGCGGAAGTGGCTTAAGCTTCTCAGTGCAGTGTTTTAACCTCCTGCGCCACCAGGGAGGGCCTAAAGATTCTTTTTTTAAAGATTTATTTATTTATGCATACAGAACTGGGGTACATGCCAGAGGTGCAGGAGCAGTGAGAAGCTTCACCTGAGACAGAGTGGGCAGCAGAACAGGCTGACTGACAAAGTATACTGCTGAGGGGAGCAGCAGGCTGGTCAGGAGAGGTCTGCCGCGCCACGTGGGTCACCTCTGGGGCAGGGATTGAACTCGTGCTGAAGTGGCTTTAGCTTCTTAGTGCTGTGCTTTATCCCACTGCATCACCAGGGAGGGCCTAAAGATTCATTTTTTTTTTTTTTTTTACTGTTGAAAATCCAAGGGTCTCAGTTACATTTATTGAATTGCTTTTATATCTTTGTGAAAATTCAGTTGGTCATATTTGAGTGGGTCTATTCTGTTATATTAATGTATGTATTCAACATTCTGCCAATATTGTTTTAATGATCTTAGCATTATAATGAGCTTTGATATCATATAGAGTGATTCCTCCATTTTCCTTTTTTTAAGAAGGGTTTTCTACTCTGCAGCCTATGCCTTCCCTCTTTAAATTTTGGAATAAGGTGCAACCTAAGCTTACAAAACTCTTAGTTGGATTTTGATAAAAATTGTATTGTCTTTGGGTCACTTTGGGAAAAAGTGATTTAAATGTAGAATTGGTATTTTTACAATGTTAAATCTTTAAATCTATGCATACAGTATAAACCTTCATTATTTTACCCGCATTTTAAAATGTCAACATCCATAAAATAATATTTAAATTTTATATAAATATTTACCTTTCTATATGCTTATTATAGGGATCTAGAAATGTGATTTTTTTATGTATTAAAATTATATATCCTGCAACCTTACTGAAGTCACTTAATAGCTCTAGAAGATTTTGCATTTTTGAGATCTACATAGACAGTCTGAACATAGAAGTAATTTTAGTTCCTTTATAATCCCTATGTCCAAGTTGTTTTTGGCTTAATGCACTGCCCAGGACTTCTACTATGCCTTGAGAATGTAATAACTCTGTTTCTGTGGACTACTAGTGAGTCCAGGAGCTGGGACGCTGGGGTGAAGGAAATCAGACACAGGGGACTATTATGTCCAGCACGCAGTGACTCTATTGTCTCACTGTTCATTATATACCACTTCAAGTGCATTAAGTGTAACTTCAAAATGTACCATATGCCACTCATCTATGTGATTACTTATTCTGGTTTACAATACTCAGCTACCCTGACGCAGACTATTTAACGCCAGGTGACCTAAGTAAATGTCTCTCAATCCCTTCTGTCCGGAACAAAGAGATTCCTTTTAAGCAACTAACTGTTAATAATCTACTTGTGGGAGCAGAGTGGCCTGACTCTACACAGGTCACTTCCTGGCGCTCACAACCAGGCCCCTGTGTCTTTTGGTACGTCTTTTTATTGAGTTGGCTACTTTCCACTATTCTAAATTTCCTGAAAGTTTTTTTCCCAAGTTGTTTCCCTGGTTCTTGATATGATAGATGACTTCTGTTGTTTTGACATTTTATAAGAAGACTACCTCAGAAGTTGTCCTACTCACTCCTAGAATGTACATTCAATCTACTTTTGTGAGCTGGGTGCCCAACAATGCTCTAGTTTTAAGAAAACACAGTGTTATTTTTGACCTAACTGTTGGTTTATCTAATGCCACTGGAACTCCCCTAGTTTCTGTGGTGCTGCTTTCAAGGCAGAAAGTACTTGGTCAAGTTGTTGGCTCAGCCTGTAGGTGGAGGTTGGGACTCTTCAGCCACACGGAACAGGGCAACTTCCTGGATGGGGAAGGTGCACTTACCCTGGAGCTCTCCTGGCTCATACTCCTGGTCACCCGGCATGTCTCGGGGTGGGGAGGCCTCCCAGGTTGGTCAGGGGGAGGCCCTCCCTTGACTGCTGATTGTCAGAGGGAGCCCACTGGTGCTGGTGCTGCTGGACTCGCCTGCTGGTGTTGTAGGTGAGAAGGCATTGACTGGGCAAGGAGATCCCCTATCCCTCTGCCTTTCATTTCAGAGAGTAGTTAGGCAATGGCCGTGTAGCCTTATTTAGGTGGGGTAGGGAGCCCATGGGAGACACCCTGGCACTGTGTCCTGGAGTCCCTTGGTATCTATTCCCCTCTTTTTCCTCCCCACTACTACCCCCCCCCCCAGCCATCTTATCTTTAAAATTCTTCACTGGCTGTTGCTTCTGGTTTTTTGTTTTGTTTTTTTTTTTTCTAGATAAAAATCAGAAACATTACCAAATTGCACAATTGTGACCTCACCCACATTTTCCATTTGAATTCCTGTTGCAGTAAATCTAACCTAAATTCTATCTGGTGGGTGGTGAAGGTTTCTTTCCTATTCCGTTATATCAGTTTGTGTCTTTGTCTTGCTCTTATCTCTGCTCGAAATGTCTGGATGCTCTTTTACTTTGTATTCTGAGGCAAATGAAAGTTCATTTTCTTTTTGACTGGAATAATAAAAGCACTCAATTTGAAAATGAAATATCCTTCATGTGATTCCCATTGAAAAGTACCAAAGTTCTACCCATTTCACACATTGAAAAACAATGAACATCCTTTATATTCATTTTAACTAAGCAAACCTCAAAACCTACTTCCAGTTTATTTCAAAATGAGGACAATAATCAGGTAACTGAGGGCCTAAGTAGATACTTGTTATCTTAAATGTTTTCAGGTTTTGTGGGGAGTGTTTGTGGTTTTGCTAAACTTTGCTGGACTCAAAGTTAAGAAACTCAGAAGACTATCAAATCTATTCCCAGTATAGGTGGACTAGACATGTTTTTAAGCAAACTGGCCACACACTCTTCAGAGTAAATGTCACTTTGTAAAAATACTCAACAGGAAAATACATTTGGGCAGATTCATTCACTTAGTAAGCTCTAACTGGCTGGATTCTAACACACTGTGAACATAATGAAGAAGTCACTATGACCTCTCCCTGCCTGTAGCTAGATTCTTGCTGGGAATGAGAGCATGAAGTAACAGCACCTCAGTGTAGTAAAGTTTGGGTGGAGAAATAAAAGCCAGGAGAACACAAGAATGGGGAAATGATCTTTTATTTATTTTTTTAAGATTTATTTATTTATTTATTTTGCATACAGAACTGGGTACAGGCCAAAGGTGCAGGTGTGGTGAGAGGATTCACCAGAGACAGAGTGAGGAGCAGAACAGGCAGACAGACAAAGTACACTGCTGAAGGAAGCAGCAGGAGAGACAGGAGAGATCTGCTGTGCCATGTGGGTCACCTCCATGGTGGGGATCTACTCGCACTGAAGCTGCCATGGCTAGCTTCACAATGCTGGCTTTAACCTGCTGCACCACCAGGGAGGGCAGGGGAAATGATCTTTTAATGAAATCTAATAAGTACTGTAAAAACGTCTAATTGTAACAGGGTGGGAGACCAGGAGTTCCCGGGTTCCTGGCCCCAAACCAGAAAGCATGTCCAGGGAATGAAAGGAAAGGATGGACGCCATGAGTCTGTTCACCAAGAAGTACAAGTCTTTCAGAACTGAGCTTATATACACTAAAAAAAGGGGTACCGTGGCCTATGCCCATTGGCCAGGCCCCGGCTAGGCAGGCGGAGAGTAATGAAATTACAGTTAATTCAATTAATGGGCCAAGTAAAGTGGGAGAAATGAAAATACAGAAGAGAAAAACTGCCTTGCAAATTGCTATTTCATTCTTTTTGGAACTCATCAGTACAGTGTAGCTGAAGCTATCGAAATTTAAGAACTTTTGCTTTTCAATAGCATGTACAAGATTCTAATTGAATTTTGTGTGCTAAAAATGCTATTAAATCTAATAAAGGGTAAAGTAAAGAATATCGTTTATAGGTATCATAGTTATTTAGCACATTATAATTTAAAACAAAAACACATATTTGGTGTTTTGATGTTTTAAAACAGTAAAACAATAGTTATCTTTTTTACTACATATTTGTGACAATACGAATTTAGAATTTAAAGGTCACAGGTCAATTATAATTTTTCTCATTGGATATTAAAATAATTTTGCATGATTTCAGCTAGCATGGTGATGTTTATGGTTCTTCATGTGCAAACAACAGACTATTTATATGGGAAAGGTTTTACATCTTGCCATAAGATCTTGCATTCATAGATACTAATTGTCTATTCTGGTTCCAAAATATCAGCATTAATTCATACCAAAATACAGAATACTTAAGTTAGAATCATGTCCTACGAAAGCCCTGCGTTACACCACCTTACAGTAATTGGCATATTGGTGGCTAACACATGGCACAATGAATAGAGGTGGTGTTTTTGTAGACTATGTTCTGGCTCAGCAACTGTAGATAGCAATCACAATGCCTCACAATGCATCATGAGAATGTCCATCAGCAACAATTTTGAGAGACCAAGTCCTGAAGATGCAACCATGTATAGCAAAATACAATGCAAGTTCTCAGCAACGGAACAGTTTAAAGTAACTTGGCACTTGTCCAGTGTAACTGTTTTGATGTGTTTGGTTTACTACAGATCCATTTCCTCTCTGTGTAGACCCTGCCACTGCTGACGCCATTGTCGTTCAGGTAGGCACACTCCCCATCTCCTCTGATGTTAAACCTGAAACCCAAGACAACATGGTTAAATACCCGTATGTTGAGCATCTGCATTCATTCCTCGCCAACTCAAGACTTACTGAAAAGCACCATTTCTGCATTTAGTTCACTGTACACTGTCAAGTGACTGACTGTCACGTCTACCCTGCATCTGTACCAAGTCCAGCTATATTGCTGATAAGGAGTTTAACGAGGGCTGGCTGTTGCAGCAAATGAGCTGTTACCATCACGAGCCTTTAGTGAATATGATTTGCATTCTTCTCCTGAACTGTTTCGTAAACATGTGAAAATTAAAATATTTAATTACTAGTCAATGTTTTGCTGCTGTTTGCTTTTTTTACACTATTCATTACTGTACAGTAATTGGGTTCTCCCCTCAAATGTGACCCTCACCGTTCTCCCACCACCAGAGCACCCGGGCTCCATCACACTCCCCTGTGCTCTTCTCTCCCTGTTCTGAGCCCCTGCTTCCCACCCACTGTTGTGCGCCCTAAATCTATGGTCAGTCTGCCAGCCAAACTGAATAGCTTAAGTGAATTCTTCTTCTTTTAAATTTATTTATGTATGCGCCAGAGGTGCAGGGGATGAGAGCACTCACCAGAGACAGAGCAGGGAACAGAACAGACAGTGACAAAGTACACTGCTGAGGGGAGCAGTGGGTGGGCAGGAGAGGCCTGCCGCGCCATGTGGATCACCTCCCAGGCAGGAATAGAACTCACTGCAAGCTGACGCTAGTTTCTCAGTGCTGCGCTTTAACCTCTTGCATCAGCACTAAGGGCTCTTAAGTCAATTCTTAAGAGGGCATAATTTTGATTGATGAAAATGATTTGGCCCCAATGTTCTATCTGCTCCACTGAAATGTTCACAATTCAAGGAGCTGTTCCCTTGTTTTTTACACTGATAAAACTTTAGGAAATATTCCCATAGTTTCCTTAGGACTCAACATTTGTGATAGATGCAACAGTGGGAATGAGTGATGGACTTAGGAATTTTGTGGCAACTGTTCTTTGTGGCTTTCTAGGAATTTAGAACCTCTACTCTGCCTCAGCTACTCTTTCTATCTTCTAATGATTCCAGCAGAGAAACAATTAAGGCATTGGCTCAAAGTATAAGAACTTTGTTCAAAGTCATTACCATATTAAAGATTTCAATGAAAATCACAAGAAGTAGTTTTTTAAAGCCATAGCTAGTAAACAGAAGAGCAGCAAAATGATGTGTACCTCTTTCCCTCTTAGTACAGTGAGTTTTCCATGATTAACTTTGCTTTCTCATTACCACAATTCACATACACAACCACACAAAAACACAGTAGAAAGCCAACTCCCCTAACATACAATTTATTGTATTCAGTGTTGTCTGTCCTCATCCAGCTGTGATTTGGAGACTCTCTATGGAGGCCGATCCAGTGGTCATAGGGGCCTTTGTATCTTTTCAGGAAATTCTATTAGAAAAAAACATTAAAAGTGAAAACATGTTTCTCTCTTATTACTCTTTGGTCTCTCCCCTACAGCATTCTCTCTCTCTTTTATTAAATATTTTTATTAAATATTTATTTATTTATACATACAGAACTGGGGTACAGGCCAGAGGTGGGGGGAGGGGTGAGAGGCTTCACCAAAGACAGAGTAGGGTGCAGAACAGGCAGGCTGACTGAAATACACTTCTGAAGGGAGCAGCAGGCGGGACAGGAGAGGTCTACCACGCCATGTGGAACACCCCCTGGCCAGGGATCAAACCCATGCTGCAGTGGCTGCAATGGCTTCATAGTGATGAGAATTTAACCTGCTGCACCACCAGGGAGGGCCCTACATCCTTCTCTTTTTAGATGGCAGCACAGCGTAATGGAGAAGTGAAGACTTTGGAGTTTGACAAGTCCCTAGTTGTCAGCCCCAAACTCATTCTGTCTCTGATCCAAAATCACCGTAAAGTCACCATCCACCCGTTATGTTGGGAAAGGCACAGTTATGACAGTTTTTCTAGTACAGTGTGACTACTGTCCCCCTTGGTTCCCACAACACACTGTTTGGATGCTAACTTCTATGCTAACCATGCTTCTCGGGACAATGGCAACAATACACCTAATCCTGTAGGTCACGATGAGGATTCCATGGCAGACTGTGTCTAACGCATGCCACAGGGTCCAGGCACAGAGCACCTCAGGGCATACACAAGACTTTCAAGCCCACCTGGGATAGGTTCCCCCTTATCCTGAGCCTCTGCTCCATGCAGCCGCCCCTCCCAGGAGGGTAATATGTTGGTATCCCACAGACAACATGCTTCAAATCAATCCTCACCATTTCCTTCAAGGTTTCAATGTTAACAAGACTGGCATTTTCTGAAGCACAGAAGAGCTGGCTGGAAGTCCAGTTTCCTATGTCATCCGAAAAATAAAAACATTTGCTTCCAAATCCAATCCATTCTTCGGGGCAGGCTACATGCAGAATGTACTCAGTGGCTGGCATTTCCTTTCTTGCTAAAAATTGGACAGTAACAATAAGTTATGAATTAATAAATGTTCTAGTCCTTTCTATCCATGGTTCCACTTAGCATCCTCAGGGCTTTCAGTGTTACTTTCCAGCTCACCCATAAGCACCTTATCCCATGTATAGTTACAGTCCAGTAGTCTCCAAGTGGGGTGCCTGTGCCCCCTACTTTCTGAGGGTACTTGGGCATCCAGTATTTCAGGCAATGCTTTTTATGAATGGTGCTTACCTAATTTCTCCAAAATATAAACCCTAGTACAAGCCCCACCCCCACCCCACCCCCATCTGCTTTTTTCCCTTCAGCCTTTGGGCCCTTATCACCAGTTACAGAGTTTACTACGCTGCATTTCCTAGGGAGTACAAAATACCCCAGGAGAGAAAACATAACAAACTTTAAAAAGTAATTTTGGCACCAAAAATACAATGTAGGACTTCCTGTACTTTTCTGTTTTATATGTATTTCTGTTAAAAATAAAAATATTTTGGTCCTCCCTACACATTCTGAAACCAGCCAAAGTATAGGCGACAAGGAGAATGAACATTTTTGTTTCCTAATTTCACCTTCTTCCCTAATATCTTTAAAAAAACACACATTGCTCCTTGGAAGTTCCGGAAATAAAAAGATATTTCATTTGAAATACTGAGCACCACAGAAAATTTGTATTTTCTTTTTATATTTAAAGGTAAACAATTACTTATATATTATACTGTGATAAACTTCTATAGTGAAAACACAGTAAATAAACAATCATCTGAAGAAAACAAAGTAACATTTTCCAAGATTAAAGTTCATTTTGTTCTTTTTTTTTAAAGATAATGATAGGTAACAGATCACAGCAGAACTTTGATTCCAATATAACAGGTGAATTTTTTTAAAATAAGTATTTTTTTTTTAAATATTTATTTATGCATACAGAACTAGGGTACAGGCCAGAGGTGCAGGGGTGGTGAGAGGATTCACCAGAGGCAAAGTGGGGAGCAGAACAGGCTGACTGACAAAGTACACTGCTGAGGGGAGCAGCAGATGGCTCAGGAGAGGTCTGCCACGCCATGTGGGTCAGCTCTGGAGTGGGATTAAACTCATGCTGAAGTGGCTTTAGCTGCTTAGTGCTGTGCTTTAACCTGCTGCACCACCCGGGAGGGCCTAACAGATGAATTTTTAAATGTCAGGTTCTACAATGTGCTGGATATTACATCATTTGCAACTATTGAAACCACTGATGAATGATAATAGGCAATAACACAAAACTTGGATCAGGAAATATTTAGTTTTCAAAAATGTTAAGCTCACATTTTGGAGTTGTAGGAACAAAAAGCTTTGGAAGATCACTAATGAAATTAGAATACACATAGTAGTGACAATAATATTAATAAGTCATTTCTTCCTGACTGAGTGTGCCAAGAAGTGCTAAGTACCTATTGCCTCTACATATGATGAAATTTTCAAGCATAGAGTTCTTCATATTTCTGCACATCTGCAATCTGCATAAATAGATGTCAGACACAGATTGACCTGAGAGAAATAATAAAATGCAAACCTGACTGGGACATGTCAGGAAAGGGCTTCAGAGATGGGACTCCTATACACACAGCCTTTCTCCTATACACATTCTTTCCTGGCTCAGAGAAAATCCTTAGAAGTCTTCTTTAAGTTTTTCTCCTCTTAAAAATCCAAATCTATCTAACATGGACTGCTGTTGACTCAACTTTGAAAATACCCAGAATTGATTTGGCAAGCCCAAGGGGATTGCAACTGAGATGGAAAAATGCACAAGATGATGTAAAAATAAACTATTATATATAAATAAAAGAAAGAAAAGAAAATACCCAGAATCTGACCACCCTGTCCCACCTCCGCTGTCAACATCAGGTCCAAGCGGTCCTCATCGCTCACCTGAGTTCTACAGGATTGCCCTGAAAGGCCTCACTGAGTCTACCCTGTCTTCAGGCACCCTGTTCTCCACAGAGCAGTCAGAATGAGTCCTCGACAGTGATCACCATCTTCTTGTCTAAGCAAGACTTCCCTCTCTTCATCTTCCCCACTGGATTCAGAGTAAATGCTCAAGTCTTTAAGTGTCTCACAAAGCTCTCACAATCCCTGCTTCCCACCTGATGCTCTTCCTTGTTCTCACTTTGCATTAACAACAGGGGCCTCTTTGCTGTTCTTCAAGCCCAGAGATATTCCTCCTGAGGAACTTTTCTCTACCTGTCTCTGCTGGAGCGTGTTGCCCAGGCAGTCTATGGTGACTTCAGCTCTCTATTAGCTTCCTGGAAGGTCATCTAAAGGTGGTTTGCCGTGCAGCTCCTCTATCGTAGATGACCTTTCCACCCACCTTTATTTGTTGTAGCATTTGCAGCCACTCTAGGAGCAGCGATCTTTGTGTTTTGTTCCACTGATATGCGTCAAGCACTTCAAATAGTGTCTGGCACATAATAGAGTTCAAAAATGTTTATTGATAATGTAAAATGTGTGAGAACATAGTAGGTTTGGGGAACAATGAACTTACCTGCCAAAAGACTAGCAAGTACAATCACTACTGCAGTTAGTGCAATACAGATCAAAACAAAGGGACAGAATTGACAACTGCTTTGGTGACATCTTCCCCCTATAGAATACAAATGTCATAATTTCAACCTCATGAAGGCCTTGCAAAGCAAATTTAACTTTATCAGAGAAGCGTCCTCTAAAGTCCGTTGTATCGGAATGTCCTTAGTGTCAAAACTTTTCACAAACAGTCCTGGTTCATAAATGAAGACTCTCAAGAGGGCAGAGATATGAGCAACTGAATTATTTCTTCCTACAAATTTCTTCCAGTGGTTGGAAGAAGGGTTTATGAGAGAGCAAGGAACAAAATAAGTAGAGATGAAGATGAAAATGAAACATACAAACAATTCCGAGTTATATCCACAACAAAGAGATCTGGTTAGAAGTGCTAAGTGAAGCTTCCGAAAATAAATCAATGTCATTCATCATATTAACATATAAGAGAAAGCACATGACCATCTCATTAATTGTAGAAAAAACCTGTGAAAATTTAATATCCATAACAATTCCCAAAAGTTAGGAACAGAAAGACTTTCCTACACCTGATAAAAGCCACCAACTGAAAAGGCACAGCTGGCAGGGAGGAGCAAATGCTGCCCCTCCACTCCACATCAGGGAGAAATGGAGGGAGGTGGGTTCACCCTAACCCAAACATTTTGCTGAATATCACACTAGTAGCCAGAAGGCAAGAAAAAGAAACAAAAGGCAAATAGAGTGGAAAGAAATCAAAGAATTTCTAGAAGAGATGTCAGCTCACCCACTCAAAAAAATACCATGAGTTTGAGCAAGTATTTGCACATGGAAAGTCCCTACAGGAGTCACTGACCCACGCCACACCTCACACTATGCCCACCTGCCTTCGAGAGCAGAGGCCTTTCTGCAGGCTCCAGTGACACTGGCCCCTGTCTCTCCTATGCACCTACTCACTCCAGCAGTGCTAGGTGACTCCGGCAGCACCAAGCTGCTGGCTGGCACCAGGGCACCCCAGTCTCCAATACCTTTCTCCCAAAAGTGGGTAATTCAGCAGGGAGGGCATATTCCCCAAGGGAGAAAGAGTGGGAAGTGGAAACGAGCACCTAATTTCACTCCAGGCCCCAGTGCCAGTCTGGCCCAGCACCAGGTTGATTTCTGTAGTCCTTGGTGGGTCCTTGTGGAACGCTGCTCATCAGCTCCCTCTTCACCCCAATGCTGCCAATAATATGAAAAGAAAGAAAATAATCCCAAGTAAAATAGCATGAAGAATATAAAATAACTTGGAATAAATTTAACTAAGGTGGTAAAATATCTTTCTAATGAAAGCTATAGAAATTAATCAAAGAAATTAATGAAGACAGGAATAGATGAAAGGATGTCATGTTTTATGTAGTGGAAGGATTAATATTGTTCAAATGTCCTCTTATCAAAAACCATCCACAGATTCAATATAATCCCAATTAAAATTCCAATGATATTTTTCACAGAATGAAAAGAAATCCTAAAATTCATAGAGAACCACAAGAGACCACAAGAGACCTCAAATAGTCAAAGTAAACCTAGAAAAAACAAAGCTTTGTTCTTTGAACCTTCACATCCATGGATTTAAAACTCTCTTACAAAGTTATAGTAACCAAAACAATATGGCATCAATATAAAAATGGGCACATTGACCAGTGGAACAGAATTGGGAATACAGAAACAAGCCCACACATACAAGGTCATTTTGTGCTCGATAAGGGAACCAAGAAGATGCAGTGGGGGTAGGCAATTTCTTTCATAAGTGACATGAAAACTGGATAAAACTACATGAAGAAGGGGAAAATGAGCCTTATCTCACATCACTCACAAAAATCAACTCAAAATGGATTAAGGACTTGCATGTAAGACCTGAAAGTAAGACTTCCAGAAGAAAACAACAGGAAAGTTCCCTGAACTTGGTCTTGGCAAAAAGTTGTTTGAATATGACACCAAAAGTATGAGTAATAAAAGCAAGTGAGAGGACTGGAAAAATGTGTGCAAAGGAAAGAAACAATGAGCAACATGAAAAAGGAACAGACAGAATGTGTGAAAATATGTGCAAACTTTCTATGGAGGAAATGTGTGGCTAAAACTTACTAAGCACTCTCAAGATTCAACAAGAAAAGAAACCAAATTTAAAAAACAGACCAAAGATTTGATTTTAAGATGGATGGTAAATACACAAAAATAAAAATATGCTTACCCAGTCATCAAAGAACACAAATTAAAATATAATGAGCTACAAGGTGAACATAAAAGTCCCATAGGCCCTAGCCATCCTATCCCTGTCTTATTAATGCAAGGGAAATGAAACCTACATGCACACAAAAGCCTGGACATGAATTTTTATAGCAGCTTTTTTCAGTAGCCCTGAACTGGTAACAACTTGAGTATCTTTCAACTAGTGAGTATCTTTCAACTGGCATCTTTCAGCACTAAGGGAAAGAAAAAGTCTGCCCATGTGTTCACAGTTCTTATTTCTCGTTCAACTTTGGCCTGCCAAAGTTAGTTGGGCTTTACCTTTACCCCCCAAATTTCTAAACTCTGACTTGCCCAAAAGCTTTGCAAGCAGCAACAGATTGCAGTCTAGGACCCGAGACATACAAAGAACTGCAAAAGCCCCACTCAGGGGCCCCTCCCCCACACCTGCAGTTTCCTGGCTGATTCATATGAAGATTAAGTTCTGCTTCTCGAATCATACCTATGGGGTGAATATAGGTATGAACCTGTATTTCTAAACCCTACATAGTGCTATAAGTCAGCACTACCTCAACACAAAAATAAATTAGGGATATCTGTTTCTTTCAACCATTACAAATGTTATTCACATCATGACTATCTCTCATGGTAAGAGGAGCCTTAGTTTAAATTGTACTCAGAGAATCAGAAATGGGGCACTGGACTATGTGAGTTAGGAGATGATGACATCTGGATTTGGTCCCATGTATCTCAACCTTTGTTCATTCTGGTTCTTCACTAAAGCAAAGTTGTCTTCAAATATTTAGAGTCTCATGATGCCCATGATTTTTGCATTGCTAGAAGGATGGCATGAACATCTTCCCTTATATCTCCTCGAAGAATGTGCCCCTCTTACTTATCTTCTAAAAGAACCCCCTTTTTTGCTCCTGTATTCCCCTGTATCTAACATCCTCCTTTGGATCAAGCTCCACTTCTCTGTGTCTCCTCGATCGTCCCTCTCCCTGCTAGTTCCCCCTTATTTCTATGTCAATTCACATGACAGCACAACGTGCTCCTAATAATCTTCAATATTTCTAGTTGGAAAAATCAGCATTAGGAATTCTCTCCCAGAAGAACAAAGCAATGAGCCCATATTACTGGCCTGATTTTAAATTTTATAGTTACAGAGTCCAATAAAGTTGAATGAATTTACAAAACACCCTTGGTATTTAAAAACAACTTTTGCAATATGTACTTACTCTTGCTAATCAAAGTTCAGAACTTACAACATACTGGCCAACATTAGCATTCCTTTTGGTTAAATATGACACTGTTTTTTTCAGAGAAAACTATCAAATTTAAGAGAAGGGGAAAAGAAAAAAGAAACATATATAGCACCTGTTTATATATATATATATATATATATATATATATATATATATATACACACACAAACATATATATATATACACATATATATATATATATATATATATTATATAAAAAGCAAAAGATAAAGGTTTAGTAAAAGGTTTCCTTTCTGCTAGACTGAGGTACAAACATACCTTGTGTGCTTCTTTCCTCATCAAATTTTCTACAGACTAAAAATGCTGAAGAATTTTCTATTGAAAGCAGTCTCTCATTGCCACCTATCCCCATACCCCTAAATCTCTTTATAAATTACAAAGCATATGTATATGAAAAATCCCAGTTGTTGCAAGCAAATTTGGTTGGTATGTGTGTGTATTTATAATAACCTGTGTTAACCTCAGCATACAGGCATGAGAACCTTCATTTTATATCAGTACTTTCTACTTTAGAATAAAATCCTTTTACAGATACAGGAAAAAATGTATATATATAGCTATATAAAATTTTATATAAATTATGCATTATATGTGATATATAACATGACCATATATAACATGTATTGAATTATATCATATATTACACTATATATCATATCTTATATTCTTATATTACATGTTATATATCATACATTTCTATTTATTATATAGTATAATATATATTTTACACACACACACATAGATGTACACATAATATGATTGCCAGCCTTCTGGCAAATGACCTGTGATTTAACATTATAATGTGACTTGCTAAGCTACAAATTGCCAGGAATCTGAGGAAAACAGAAGGATTAACAATATAAATACAAAGAACATTTTCACTTTATCCTCTTGTAATACATCTTACTGTTTATATATCTTACTCCAGAAATGTTTAAGCACATACACAGCAATATAATAATTGGTATAAAAATGACATCCCAGTTCTCTCCTGTACCAATATTCCCTCAGAACAAATCTTCTGTGGAGATGGCAGAGAAGTGCTAAGACTCCTGAAATGAGGCACAAATTTTATGAATCTAACATTACCTGATCTCCCCACTTCCACGTCACCTCTGGAAGCAGCCTCTTTGTTTGCCATTTTCAGTGGAGTATGCAAAAACTCTGACATTCTGTTTATAGGAAGGCTGTTAAGTAGCAGCTGGATAATAAAAGTATGGAAGGGCTTTGACTGCCCCTAGAACACAGCCAATTTGTCCAGATGAGAGGACTGCTTTGCTGAGAGGTTTGTCGACCTGACCTACAGCAAACTCTGTTACGGCAGGCTCTGTTACTGCAGTATAAAAAGCCGAAGGCGTGTCTGTAAGGGAATAAGTGACTGTACAGACAAATGAAGAGAAAGAAGCCCAAATAAAAGTGAAACCATAATTTCTGGAATGAGTCCTTCATTTCACCTCTGCACTTCCCAGAATAAAACCCATTCACAGAAATACAGGAAAAATAACCAGTGGCAATTAATAACCAGTGGCAATTAACATCTGGCAATTAATATTTGCTGAACTTCAGCCACATACAAAAGAGAAGGATCTGGTCTTGAGAGAAAGAACGTTCCAGAATAAGGGAAGGAACCAGATATAAAGTTAATTAAACTGTACATAAAATAAGTGAAGCTGTTAAGGGTTTCAGAACTTTAAAAATGCAAAGTGCTTTTAAATTAGAAATATCAACTCCAGATTTACACCCCCTGTCAAAGTGGATTAAGTTAACAGGGACTGGGACTTACCACTGTCTGAATCAACTAAAAAGGAACAAAGAAAGAAACTATATGTGATAAACCCTGAGCATCACACAACGAAGGTCATCTGTAAACAGGGCAACTGAGGAGCACCCCAGGAGCCCGGATACCTGCATACTCTAAAGGGGTTCTGCCATCCGCCACATAAAGACAAAGTGGGTTCTCTCAGAGTGAAAGATCCTTAATAAAACAATTGTGCAAAAAGAAGAAAGAAAAAGGATACAGTTCCCCAATAAAATACCCGGAGTTTTCCGTCCCCTCCTAGGTAAAAGTCCAGCCAAACAGGGTAGACTCAAGGTAGAGCCACTGAGGTCTGAAAGCGTAAGTCACCTTCTGGAGGGAAAAGAGGACCAGGCTAGGCTGTGGCGTGAAGGGCAAGACCAAAGCACAAAGACCCTGAGGTGTCTCACCCACTTGTCTCTTCCATCCTCCAAGGCCCTGGTGCAGGTGCACAGGCGAGAGGCAGGTGGGCCATTCTCCACGGGTCCCTCTTCCTCTCTCTCCCCACTCCCTGCTCTGTAGCTCCACCCAGATGCTCAAACATGTCTTCCTTCCTGGGGGACAGGAAGTTTTTGAAATAAACTTCTCTTTTTTTTATTTTTGGAATAAAATTCTCTTTTACAGAGATGCCTCTGCTTTACTCCAGCTATGTCCAGTATCACAGATGTGGCTTAGAAGGGCAAAGCCCAGCAAGTGTGGATTCCATGAGTTGCTTACGAAAAGCTCAAGCACTAGAGCCTGATGACAGAGCATCAGACAGGAGGACATACTGCAGGACGGGCCTCCCCCAAAATGTTCAGAGAGGCTGATGTCTGGCACAGACTCCCTTTATATGTGTTATGTTAGCCTGTGTCGCTAAGACAAATAAGGTTCTGGGGGAGAAAGGAGACTACCCGGATTTAGGGCCACGTCCAGAAGAACCCTTTCACACAGCACAAATTCCCAGAGGCAAGGCTACCACAGAAATTCAGCCCCTCCTGTGAGGTACCCCTCCTCTCTCCTTGATACACAGCTCCATCCCACCCCTCCCCTCAGGATAGATACTCTCCTTTGCCCCATTTACTTTAAAATCTTTATCCATGTAACATCTCCATACAAACTCATCTGTCTGAAGTTAATTTAATTGCTAAACCAGCCTGAGAAGGAACCAGAAGAGTAAGGGGTCATTTCCTCAGCCTCTACACAGGAACTTCCACTGTTAATGTAACTTACATATTGAGCCATCACTGAAATGTGAACTTTCATTGTGTCAACTGTTACATATATAAGTAGATGAAGTAATTCTTAACCTGACTTCTGGATCCCTAAGTCGCCTACTATATATATATATATATATATATATATATATATATATATATATATATAATCAGCAAAATACAGATGTTTATTATTGTGGTAGGTGCTACAAAACAGAAGTTTTGCAAGCTCTGATTTTAAAGACAGACAGAGCAGGTGTCTGGGATATCTGCAGGAGAGGCTTGGATATAGGAAGTAGCTGAGGAAGATTAAAAGCAAAAAGGGAGATGTCACTGAGCCTGTCAGGACCTGCTGGCCCTGTTTCCCTGCTGAAGCCTTTCCAAAAGCCCTTGAAGCCAAGGAAAGTCTGGACTCTAAAATCTGATAGCCAGGGCAAGTCCAGGCCTGGAGGCCTGGGAACTGCAGGAAGAAATCCAGTCAGAATTTTTGGAATAAACTAGCAGGGGAAGATACCCCCTGCAGGAAGGCCAAGGGAGGCCCTGTGACTGTTTTTCTTCAGTCATTTCTGTTCTTCTTCTTTTTTGCTTTTAAGATTTATTTATATATGCACACAGAACTGAGGTACCGGCCAGAGGTGCAGGGGTGGTGAGAAGGTTCACAAGAGACAGAGTGGGGAGCAGAACAGGCAGATTGATGAAGGACACTGCTGAGGGGATCAGCAGCTGGGACAGGAGAGGTCTGCCGCACCCTACAGGGCCAGAAGTCCATCTTGCACTGAAGCAGCTGCCCCTCGCTTGCAGTGCTGCGTCCTAACCCGTTGCACCACCAAGGAGGGCCAAATGCTATTTTTCTTTCTTGGTTTTTGGTTCTGCCAGTGATGCACAACTGGGGTGCTCAGGAGCGAAAAATCATCAGAGTGCAGATGGAGGCCTCTCTGGGCTGCCAAAGGGCTGGTAACAGGGACTCAAGCAAAAGGGGCTGGCAGAGTGCCTAATGGAGGAGTCTGTGAGGACAAGCAGCGGCTGCTCACAAACACCATCACGGTCTGTGCTTTTTGAGTTTTGACTGAGATCCCTGCCTGATGGTGCCTGAGGAAGTGTTCAACCTTGATGCTATCATAAACTAACCAAGAGTCGGGGTCTCCCATCTGGCCAGCACCTCCTTATCACTTGCACTTTCCTTTTCAGAACTGCTTGCTGGGTTTCGTTTCCCAGAAAACACTGGCCTAAGAGAAAATGAATGCTGAAAGAATAAATACATGTTCTAACAGAACATTCCATCTGGAGAACCCCAGCCCTGTATGCTAGTCAAATATTAGCATACAGGGTGGGAGTCCAGGACTAACCTTAAACAATGAAACACCAGTCAACAAGACCAGCTGTTGAGACACGTGGCAGTTAGTCAAGGCCAGGTGCTTCCTGTCAGGGCAGGGAAGGTCAGAAATGGGGTTGCCCTGGTGAACCAAAACCGGGGCCATGCTTCTTGGAAGTTGTCCATCTTCACCACTCTTTCTTGGATTTTTCTTATGATGATCAGATTTCAAAGCCAAGGAGATATCCTCAGTGAGATCTGTCCAGTTGGAAGAGTGTTTACTCACATACTGTTAACACAAGATAGCAGCTGCAGAAACTGGATCTAAATCAACAAACTTGTACTGGTAGACTGTTTTCATCTCTGAAATTGTTTAAAAGCTTCAGTAGACAGTGATAATAAAAAGCAGATGACTCTTTGGAAGACAGCTGGTTAAAGTAAGAAGAAACTAAATATACTGATCAGATCCAGTAATCTCCTCCCTCAGCATTTATACAAATGATTTGAAAACTGGTATCACCATAAAATCTCTCATTCTTCTGGATTCTACTCCAGCTGGAAGAATAATCAAACTCAATTTAATGGGGAAGAGGCGAAAACAACTACGTAGATCCTGCCAATAGTTAGAGAAAATGGGGGATCGAGGGACCGCAAGTGCTAATGTTACAGGACACCCCAATTCTGTTAGAGAACAAAACCTGTTATAGGACAAAATCTGTTATATGACAGGGGAGAGGGACAACCCTGAAACCCCAAACCTGCCTGCTGTAAGTGGGTTCTGCCATCCGCCGCAACAAGACAAAACATATAAAACTTTAATGAAAAGGGACTTTAATACAGTGAATATACAATACAGAACACAAAGAATAGAACTTCTAAATCAAACACCTGAAGTGACCCATCCCCTCGTGGGCAAAAGTCAACCCAAAAGGGATTGGCCCAAAGCAAGGCTTGAAAGCTGCCATAAGGCTAAAGCACCTTCTGGCCGGGACCCATGAAAAAGGCCAGACAAATCTGGGAGGAAAAGAGCAAAATCAAAATCAATATAAACACTGCCATAGTCACCTCCCTACAGGTCTCTCACCCACATCTGCCTTAGCCAGTCCAGGGTCAGGGAACAAGCACGGCTTCTTTTTCATAGGCTTGCTGCTTCATGTGGCTTCCTCAGGTCTCCTCTTTGTTCTCCATCCAGCTTCCTTCTCTTCTTCTTTTTTCTCATTCCTTCTCTTTTCTCCTTTATTCTCTGCTCAGCTCTACCCTCCTTCTGGATGGGGCAGGAAACCTGGAACTTCCCCTTTTCCTAGGGATCACCCAGTTACACTAAGGGGAGAGGAAAGGGAAGCACTGCAGGATGAGGAGTTCAGTTCACCTCATCATTACTCCGGGAAGAAAGTGAAGTTCTCAGGCAGGAAGGACATGACTGTAGGTTAAACATGCCCTTGGGTGATTCTCCCCAAACTACAGTCTTCTGGGTTATAAAGAAAAATAGAGCAGAGATTGATACTTTGGGTAAAGGGCAGAAGGATAGAGGTTGAGGGTCTCTTCTTAGATCAGGGAAGACTGAAAGCATCAGGCAAGGACAAGAATTTGTTAGATGCTAGGGCCTTCACTGTTCTCAACTCAAAATAATCCACATGCCAGCATGAGGCATCTTCACAAGACCAATTCTAAGAATCTTGGGGAGGTCTGTTTTGGAAGAACCTTGGGGTGACCTTCATTTGGTAGCAACCAAGACGCCTGTTATTGGATAAGCACTATGGGTCAACCAAACAAGGGACTATTGTTCAGAGACAGAAAGCAAGCTTTTCTTTCACTCCCTGTATCTCTGGCCTACACCACAGTCTTTCTATAAAAATATAAAATAAAAAATGGAAATGT